CTTATTTATTCTTCTCAATATTTTGTTTATTCATTCCTTTATTCTTTATTTACTCCTCATACTACTCCTGGACAGCCCGAACATTGGAAAACGAGGCTGTTATAGGCACGAACTTCTATCGAGGGATAGAAGTTGTCTAATGGTTTCGAACTGAGAATGAGTCGAGTGCAAAAAGCAAGGGTATTTGAGGGAGGGGGGGGGGGATAGTGCCAGCTCGTTTCATCTCTCTGCTACTTCTTCCCGAAGTTACAGAATAGGACCACATCTCTATTCAGTGAAAGGATGCAAATCAGCAGATATGGTGCGGCATGGTTGCCGTGCCTCTTTCCTCCCCTCCGCCCAACCAGCGCATGTCGAACATCGCACTCCTTCGGGAGCGGCGGCATGACTGGAGAAGGTGGGCTCATATTGGCCGGAGGATTTTGTTATTGGTTTTTTTTACTATTGATTTTTCCCGTTTTACGCGCGCTGTACACGCTCCCACTAGTCGAGCGCTGCAGAACTGAAGGATGAAAAGGGTTAAGTCTTCGCCATTGATCAATCCCTTTGGGATGCGGCATGTATTGTACTTCCATTTAAAATCGAAATCAGAAATTAGAATTATTGAATGCGATGTGGCGCATACAATGACTTGCGGGGGCCAGCCGATGTACAAGTCAGTGCTTATCCTCCCAGACGAATCTGGTACCAATTCACCCGTCCCCGGAGGGTAGAAGGCTTGGTTGGCCTGGGCGGGTGTCGACCTGGGATTCGAACCCAGGACCGCGCGAGTGGTGAGCGCGCCACTTGTCACTACATACACCACCTCCTGCCAGAGGAGAACTAATAATTCCGATAACTGATTAGAGATGTTAACCTCTCCACAGCCATGACGACAATTTCAGGGAAATCTGGGGAGATGGTTGACAAGTTGTAAAAAGAGGGCCATACCAGAAGACGAATTCAGGAAGAATTGCAATTCGCGAAATTTCTCCTGCATAGGGGGGGTGCCCTTCTTCCTACCCTCCCCCTATCTACTTTTGTCAGTTTATTGAATCTCTGCCCAAGCTGAATCCTAACATCTTTCTCGAAGAGTAGATAATCGATCGATTACGACAACTCAACGAACTCACAATGGGAAAGAGGTCGCATACGCGGACCGACGAGTGAAAGTAATCGGGAAGAGGCCAGGCAGTGATCGACAGAGTGGAAATACTAGAGCTTCAAACGAAGCAGAAAGAAGGTACAACATGAGCGTAATACAAGGCATCAAGAGGAACCTGGGCTAAATGGGCGATACGAGCAGGCGATATCGTCAGCGTAGGCCAGCAGCCTGAACGCTGCTTTTGGTTTGTCTAATCAGAGATTTCGTGGTGTATCCGTATATCGAAGCAGATGCGTCGTAAATCGTAACAATGAGAGGGTAAAGGCTAGTCGGTAGCGCAGTATGGTTAGCAGATTTTCGGACGATGAGCGAATTGGTGGTGGATCGATTTTGTGAGTCCAGACTTCGTCAAATAGGGTGTTATGTCGCTGAATTTTTACCAAAATCTGGAAGAGCAGCTTAGCTATTCAGAGCTTATAAGGAAAGACACGAAAAAATTAATCTATGGAGGGGAAAGGTGGCGAGGCGAAGCGGTCCGCAGTTGACTGGCAGCAAGAGGAGACTGACGTGTTGATTGAGGTCACATAAAAAGTCAGATGCGTGTATAAATGCTCATTTGATAACTGGCGTGCGAAGCTTCCAGTGAAAACGTTTTTCAAG